GATCCGCGGGTCCTGCCGCTGGCTCCGGCGGCCGCTCTCTGGGCACCGGAGCTCCACTTTGGGGGTCGACTTGCGCCCCTTCTGCTTGTTCTTTTTGGACATGTTTCTGCCGTAAAGGTATCACAGGGTGCCGGTAATAAAGAGGCTGTGTCCAGAGCTGAATGAATATGCTGCCTCACGCGGCCATTACCAAGCCACGCCCCATCACTAATACTAATTTAATAGTTGGATGATATTTTGAATATGGTTGATGTAATTTATTTACTTTTTTAATTATGTTAATTGGTTTATATATGATCCTAGTTTGTTTGTGGTAGTAGCACTACACTTAATTTAATTTGATATTATTTCCTATTTTTGTTTTTGAAACATACTTTAGGAATGTTAGCAGCTTCACAACAAGGTTTTAAATTCACAGCGCAGAAGTTTTTCTATTACATACAAAAAGCACTCAGGAGCACTTTTAATGTAATTTTAATGTATCAAATGCTGGATGCAAATATTGTGCAGTTGAGAAAATATGCTAAATGTCGGAAAATATGTGCAGTTAGACGCAAACATGAATATGTTGCAACTTAAAAAAAGACATACCAGAAATAAAATGTTGCGGTTAGTTAGCATAACATATAATACATATAACATAGTGCTCTCTGCGTTTAAAAAATTACTTTATTAAGAACAAAATAAAAAATAGTTATTCGCATGACATACTATGTGCACATACAGGTGAAACTCGAAAAATTAGAATATCGTGCAAAAGTTCATTTATTTCACTAATGCAACTTAAAAGGTGAAACTAATATATGAGATAGACTCATTACATGCAAAGCAAGAGAGTTCAAGCCGTGATTTGTCATAATTGTGATGATTATGGCTTACAGCTCATGAAAACCCCAAATCCACAATCTCAGAAATTTTTTGGCAGTGTGGGCAGGTGCCAAATCCGGCTGGAAAATGAAGTCAGCATCCTCATAGAGCTCGTCTGCGGAAGAAAGCATGAAGTGCTCCAAAATCTCCTGGTAGACGGCTAAGTTGCATTAGTGAAATAAATGAACTTTTGCACGATATTCTAATTTTTCGAGTTTCACCTGTATAGTACTTTGCTTTCTGACAGAAAACCACTGGCAATTCCATTTAACAGCTTTGCTCATCCTGATCCATCTAACAAGATGGCATTATCTAAGACTCCGCCCATCTAATGCTCCACGTTTAACCCCTCCCACTCCTAGCAAGCCTCAGTTTTTTGCTAGTGTCTTTAGGTGTTGGGTGTTTTAACTGTACTAAGAGAAGTAAATGGCCTCTATACCTGTGGAAATATCTGGAGATTATTCTATTAAGGGTCTGTGCTATAGCCCCTGTGGCTTTCCCCCTTGCAACTTCAGGATTGTAGCCCCTTGGCTGAGCATCGGGAACCTTACCCCGGCCTCACCGGAAAGATGTGGGACTGGCCTGCAATGTCACTTTGGGCACTGAATCCTGTGTTAGGCTTTTACCTTGGCATGTGGTGCAACACATTGAGTCAGACACAGCATGCTTTACAAATACAGGGCCATGGTGCGGTGGAGCCCTGTCCCTGAAGATGCCCTCGGGGGTATGCCCAGACTGGATGGAGCTGATTATTTTATCCTGACACCTTATTGGCCTGACGCCATGATTGTGGGTAAGTCAGACACTATAAATTATGTGTTGCAGCCATGAGGAAAGAGCTGCGACACTCTCCTACCTTGTTTATTTCATGGCCATGGTCTTCATTGCACCTGTGCACTGAATCTACTGCACATGCTCCGCACCATCTTGGAAAATGCTTGTGGTACATTGTGCCACTGCTCTTGCTATCACACGGCAGCACGATTTCCAGACATTTCCTGGGTACCCCAAACTTGGCACAGGATGATGTTTTATCTTTTCTAATCTGCAGCGTTTGGTCATGCTGATGCTTGGGTGCACAAGATGGTATCTCAGGGCTACAAACTAGAATTTCTCTCCCTGCCCCCTCTTTTTTTTTTCCTACCACCAACCTTGTGTCATTCCACAGTTTGGAAGATTTCCACTGAGCCCTTTTGGGGCTAGATCAAGGTGTCACTGTCCCATTTCCTGTGGCTGGACGAATTCAGGGTTTTTTCCTCCAACTTGTTCATTGTCCCATGTGCAAAAGGGAAATTCACCCCATCTTGGATGCCTAGATTTGAATGTCTCTATTTGAAACCAGATATTCCGCATGGACGTTACTGGATCTCTCATTGCCTCCCTTCACTAGGGAGACTTTTCAGGGGCGTGAACCTGCATGTTCTCATCTTTCCAGCACAACCGTTTCCTATCTTTTGTTGTGTTCCATTTGCCTAGATGGATCAACGTATTTGGTATTATTTGGTACTGAGGACCAGGTTGTCCATGGTCAGGTGGCTCAGAAAGCCAGCTCTGCAAACGGGGAATTCCTTTATTCTCATATTCTTAAAAATCCCCACAACAGATGTCAGCCTGTCATCAGGCTGGGGAGGAGTCCTGGTGTACCAGGTCCTGTGTTATAGGTGGGGGATGCTAAATGTGAACCCTCTGGCATCCAGGCTTAACAACAAAATAGACCGGTTTGTCTTCAGATACAGAGATCCTCTAGTGAAAAGCAGTAGATGCTCTGGTTTCAGTTCAACCTGATCTATACTTTTCATTCCCTTAAACTTCTTCCTCGCCTGCTTCACAGGATTGAGGTAGAGGTGATTCTCAGTGCACCGGTTGAGGCTGATGTGGTATGCTGTCCTGGTAACACACAGTGGTATCTCTTGTAGTCATTACCTCTACGAAGTGTCTGTCTGAAATGGAGTCCTCATCCTGTAAGGTACTGATTCTTGTTTGGCACAGGGACAAGGTTGCATTGAGGCTTCAATACCTTTTTACATATATATTGTTTGCCTTTTATCTCAACCTTCTGTCCATCTTCAGTTCACCAAAAAGAAAATTTCCCTTCATTGTCTGGATATGACTCAGGCTGTGAGAGTCTCTCAGCCACTGCTTCTTCAGAAGGAGTGATTCCTTTTGTACCTCGGATGGACTTGCTAAGTGTACACCAGTTTCTCTGTTCACCATTTCTAGGTGACTCAGGCAGATCATCATCCAAACTTATGGTTTTAAGGATTGGGTTCCAACTTGCCCTATCAAGGTCCACTCCACTTGATCTGCGAGTGCTTCTAGCTGTTTTCGGCATCATGCAAATTTTGACGGTTTGCAAGACTACCACCTAGTCTTCTGCTTTTCTATCTTACTAACAATTGTCATCAATACAAATATTAAGAGTGGCTCTTCCCAATAAGGACACAGACAACAACAAAGACCCAATAATGATTCAAATCTAACCCCCCTCCCCCAAATGATCTTTTACTATATACCATCACTTGGTTAGCCATCTATGGGCTGTTTCCCTAGTCTGGTTGTTTAGTAGAAGGTTGTTGCCAATAGAATTTGGGACTAGATATTGGTCATTGAAATTTTTTTTATAGTTCAAAGATTTCTGTGTGTGAAAACACTTTATCATTATCTTTTTTCACAAGTTTAAAATTTGGGGAGTATGTACTCAACTTTTAATAGGTGTTTTGCAGGATGTGGCACCTGGGAGATTTTATTATATATAGTTACATTTTAAATCATAACTTTAAAAATATAAATGTTATTGCTTCACTGTATTTCCCATGATTTGAAATAATGTTGTTATGGAAATTCGCTTGGTTCAACGCACAAATCCATGTCGCATTAAGCTGCGCCAAACGCAAAGAATTTCCCCCGTTGTACTACGCTCCTTTGCAAGGACTGGAAGTATCCCCTTCAGAGTCATGTAGAGTCAGGAGACGTGTGTTGCTTGCTTGATAGTCCCATGCTTAGAGACAGAGCACTGTTTTATACCTGCCCAACAGGAAGTAATGTCAGACAGGAAATGGGGCAGACAGGAAGTGATAGCAAAACAGGAAATGGGGCAAGACAGGTAGTGATGTCAACAACCAGCAAACGATTTCAAAAACCAGCAAACCAGGAAGTGAGGTTAACAAGCACTTCCTCAATACATAGCCAGTCTACAAAACACATTAGTAGAATAATCACATTAGTAGAACAATCACATGTAGTAGAATAATCTATGACCACCGGAGTGTACTTTTATCCAGCATTGCTCAGTGATCAATGCCACATAACGTTACTATGATTCTCATGAGTGCGTAATTATAGGCAACGTCATTATCTCCAGCGGGTTGATCAGACTCACTAGGGACAATAAACGCACGTTCCTTTCATATACTGCGTTCCAAACAAATGTATCCACGCAAGCCAATAAATCCATGCATTGCACGCGGGGCCCCTGCCGGCGTCCATACATTCGCCAAGAAGACACTGCTCCGCCGCGCATAAGATATCTACTCCAATGGTTTAACCCCCCAATGTCTATTTAAACCGAGACACTGAGAGACTAATGACAAAATATTACAATACACTAAAAACACATTCTAGTAAAATTTCCACAACAATGTACATTTTACTCTTAAAGTGACATTAAACCCTCAGATGTTTTAACATAAAACAATACTGTAATGTGTGCCTTACTGTAATCCATGGTTGTTTCCCTTCTCTTTGCTGCTCTTCCTTTTTAAATCCTCATCTCTTCTCATGCTTGGGTAGAACTTCCCTTTTCAGCTCAGGGCCTCTTCCTGTAGTGCTGGCTCAGGTTTCAAGCCTATACAAACGTATATACAGACACCGTGTATCCATTCCTGAGACAAGGCAGTCTGCTGCAAAACCGAAGTTCTGCCCAGCATAAGAACAGATACAAATTTAAAAGGAAGAGCAGCAAAGAGAAGGGAAACAACCATGGATTACAGTAAGGCACACATTACAGTATTGGTTTATGTTAAAAAAGCTGAGGGTTTAATGTCACTTTAAGTTTGTTAAAAAAAAAAAAAAAAGGAGGGTAACTTTTTAGCACTTGCTAAATATGCTCATTGTACGATTTTTGACTTCTTCAGGAGAAAGTGACTTGGTACGGAAAAAGCTTGGGATAGATATTTCCCACATCAGCAGCAAGAATGGCTTCTCAGATAGACAGACAACGTATGACAAATCTCCTTCATCTTCTGGTTATTCTTCAGAGGAGGATTACAATGGTAAGGACTTCCATTTTTAATTCCTGTTAGTAAACAAAAGAGTTACTGTAAAATAAATAAAGTGTATGCCAAAACATTTGTTTAGTTTTGGATAAAATGAGAACGTGTACCAACCTCTGTCATGTTTTGTTGCTGTCTGTGTCCCTGCTGGGGAAAATAACTCTATATTTGGCCTGGTGACCATTGTCTACAGCACAAAAAGTAATAGTGAATCCAAAATTTTAGCCTAGTCATAGGGACAGGAGATGAGGAAAAATCTTCCTATAGGGACATCTGTTCTGGTTTCCCTTTGCTTTGGAGAGATTTCTTCCTAGTTACTGTTGTATTTTAGTTAAAAAAAAAAGAAAAATCTGTCCACCTCAGATCGGATCTCGCTGAAACATTTTATCATATTACTGAAATCTAAGCTCAAAAAAGTTAGTCAACCCCAAAGGTAGGTGCCTATGTCAAACAATTTCAGCTATATGTAAAATGGGGCCAGCTGATTTGGTTACATCTGAGGCTGCTCTCAGATGTGAGAGTTTTTCCTGTTTTCAGCAGAGGAAATCATTTGTTTTTTTGTATTAATGAGTGAGGAGTCTCTGATGTAATTAGATTGGCTCTGGAATTAAAAGCAACTATGTCACTTAAAAGTGGGAGAAACTAGAGTGTAGTGGGTGGAACAACTGGATCGGTTTTCTCCTCAGCAGTGCCTTGGCAGAATGTACCCAGACCCCTCAAGACAAGACACAGAGAAAGCCTGTAATATGCTCTGTCACTGCACCGTGTGTTCAGTGCCCTCCTTGGCACCGCGTGTGTTTAAGTGCAGGGTGCTTTACAGGACCATGGCTGTGGTCCATCTCAGTCTGGCCAAGCTTCTGGCAACAGTTCTACCTCCACTAGGAATGTCATTACTGCTGGTCCAATGCTTTCTTTATTGTCACTTTCTCTACTGACTTCAGGGTGCTTCTCTGCATCCTCTAAAACCCCTTCCTCTGGTTTTCTAACTAGGGAGGAATTTTGTTGCTGAAATGCTCCAACTGTGAGCTGCAGTGTCTAGGAGGGGGAGTGTGTGAGACACAAATGAAGGAGGATTTGGCGCAGTCAGAGAAAGCAAAGAAAGTTTTTTTTTTTGTTTATTTTATGATGCTTTTGCATCACATAGTAACTCTATTTGGTACTTATTTTGTCACAAAAGAGCCTTTAGTTGCACTTTAGGCTAATATTTCTGTCATTTAGGAGCTTATTTTTCAATAAAAATTAACTTGCACCCGTGCAGCTTTTTAGCGGCACCTCAGTACTTTTTTTCACTAAGATAATAAAAGACACAAACAATGTTTAAAGGAGAACTATGGGGTCAGTGTTTTTCCCCATAGTTCTCCTTAGGGTAACGGGAGGACACAAACTAGCGTCCTCCCGTTACCCTAAGCTCAGTATACCGCTATCTACAGCTCACGGTATACTGAGACGCCGGAGCGGATCCCGACTTAGATGACGGGATCCGCCCAGCTGCGTGAGTGACAGCTGGCTCTGCCTATCTAGAGGCAGAGCCTGCTGTGCCCGCCCCCTCCCCCATCCGTTCCACCAGTCAGCGCTGGCAGATCGGAGCGGGGAGAGGGGAATCCAGCCCCTCCCCTTGTCACGGCAGGGAGCCGTGACAGGATCGAGAGGCGAGCTGTCACCAGATGACGAGGGAGCATGGAGCCAGCTTTCTGGCCAATCGGGAAGCCGGGAGCCATGTAATGACTCGCCACCTGGCTTTTTGATTGGTCGAGAAGCTGGCCAATCAGGAAGCCGGGCAGAAAGTCATTACACGCTGCCCGGCTTCCTGATTGGGCGGGAAGCCGGCTCCATGCTCCCTCGTCACTTGGGGACCAGGCCTCCCAGCCAATCAGTAAGCCGGGCAGCGTGTAATGACTCGCTGACCAGCTTCCTGATACCGGGAGTTCGGGTATTGGGCTAGGCATCGGAGTATTTGGGCAAGTACGGGCACTCGGTGCATCCCTAATAAATAAACAGTAAAGATGGCGAGCACACTACCGATGGGAAGATTGTAAGCGGATTTTTGGGTGAGCAAGCTACTTAACCAGGGAGAGGGACCCTGTGGACAAATGTAGGAAGACAAAAAAAGGAGCGCTACAACCCAGGAATTTTTGTTAATAATCCAATCATAATCTTTAAATTGGTATCTATAGATGGGGACTCACTTTTAGACGGACGAGGTGGTGTCTTGCCGATGGAGGGTGAGAGATGTTGTCGGCATAGATCACGAGGTGGCATATGCGGCTGGTCTGTGTAGATATAATCACAGGACTTCACGGCTCCTATTTGGTCCCTTGGTGATGGAGGAGGGATGGTGGATTAGACTGAAGGGCACGTATGACCTTGTGGAGAGGTAGGCTGTGCGTTAATGGTACAACCCCCGTCGGGCACAGTGAGAGCTCAGCTGGCCAGGCTGACACTCGTCGGCTGAACGGTGAGCAGGAGTGCCGCTGTGTAGCGGTGTAAGGATTGGTCAGCAGTCGTTATGGAAGAACGCTCAGGGACGGGCACAAGGCTGGAGGACAGTGTGGTCCGTCTTACTGAGTGATGAGGATGTCAGGTAGATGGTTTGGCTATGCGTTTCGAGGCTCTATGCCTCTTTGTCAAACCAGAGATAAATTCCCTAGAACGGGCGGGAGATGCAGAGGTTTTTAAAAAATGACAGGTGGGCGGGACTTTCGATCGTGGGCGGCTACTATTGGCCGGTTCTGCAGGGAGGGTTGGTCATGGCTACTAATGGACGGCATTGAAGCCGCTTGCTTTAGAAGGAGATCGTGGGTCCATGTTTAAAAAGTGTTTAATAGCTACACAGACCTGCCGCATATGCCACCTCGCGATCTATGCCGACAACATCTCTCACCCTCCATCGGCAAGACACCACCTCGTCCGTCTAAAAGTGAGTCCCCATCTATAGATACCAATTTAAAGATTATGATTGGATTATTAACAAAAATTCCTGGGTTGTAGCGCTCCTTTTTTTGTCTCCCTAATAAACACATGCACAATCACTCTTAGACATCATATCTTTATATACATATCATATTTAAAGACAGACACTACATGTGCTATTTATATAAGTGCTTTTTTAATGTTAATTGCTTTTGATTTTAGGCCATTCTCATTCTCAAGAAGGTTTTAGTCGTGTCTCTCATTGGAAAAAGTGGGCTCAGAAAATGAAGGAACTGCCTTGGCTTTTGTTTTCATATCCAGGTTAGATGTTTGCTTATATCTACACGGTGAATAAAGTATTTTTCTGCTGCACAGCCTTATCTTGAACTTCAGGCCAGAGCTACTTTTAAGGTGTCTTTTTTAAGGCCAAGACACCCTAATGAGGCAAAAAATCTGGACCCCTATATTTTAAGAAAAAAATAATTCAAATTTTGATTTATTTTCAGTAGACCATTAATGAGGGTCTATTTTGCATATAATCATTATTAAAAAATTAAATGTTTAAAATTATAACATTAACCTGAGTAGGGCTGCAACAAATAATTTATTATAATCGATAATGAGAGTGCAGTGGTCTGTGACCCTTTCAACAGGGGTGTGGATTTTTTTTTTAAAACTACTTGTCCAAGGACTAAAGCGGGGGCCTGATCTACTTGTCCCTCATGAAAATCTACTTTTCCTGATACAAAAATAGAAAAAAAATGTAACCATAACCGTATTTAGCAATGTCAAGAAGAACTTCTCGTTGGTCAGTGCCGTCAGATGACTGCGCTGACCAATGAGTGCTTGAATTTTGAGAGCGAAATTCAGATTACAGTGGCACAGGTACAGATAGTACACCCATACTGGTGGATGAGAAGGACCATTCCCTAAAAGGTAAGTATAGCGGGGGGGATGGTGTCTGAACCAGATTTGTGCGGGTAATTCAATTTTTCCAAATTACTTGGGAAAGTGAATTTACCGTTTGGGGCGGGTGCAGACTTGGGCGAGGCTGTGTACGGTTGCCTTGCGGCCTCATTGATTTCAATGGGGTTACATCCGCGTGGTAATCTCTGGATGTTTTATGTGCGATTGCACGGGTGTTATTGCGGCAGGAAACTGCGCAATCTGCCTTGTGCGACTGGGGTGCCATTAGACAATAATGGCACTGCCAGCGTGACAGGCGGTGGTGTGCGATTCTGTGACCGCCCGGCCATCCACACGGTTTTGTGCACGATTGCCATGTGGTAACAGATCGCCCACTCCACTCACACACACAATGCCCCATGCATGCGTTTATTCGCATGCAGATGATGGGGATTGGTTTTAATTTTTTAGATTTTATTTTACTTTTTTTTGCTTTAATATTTTGTTATCATTATTTATTTTTATTTTTTAATTTATTGCCTTTTTTTCTTCTATTTTTATGTATTTACATTTTTATTATTTTTCCAATTTTATGTTTACATTTTTAAGTGTTATTTTATTTTTTACTTTGTTTTACTTGACTTTATTGTTATCACACTAGGGCCCTTGTGTGATAGCTTTTGGAGGTGACATGTTCTCTTTATTGACCCTGTCACCTCCAACACAGGAGTTCTAGCACAGCACTGTGCTATTTCTCCTGTGACAGGAAGGCTGCATTACTGTGTTACTACACACATGGAGCAGAGTAGAGAACCGTTCTCTGCCTTGCTCCGTGCTCTGGAACCTAATTTGCCGTGGTCATGAATCCCCCACAAGAGGGGGGGACCCCGAAGACTACGGCAAAAAGAAAGCCCAAGTGCAGAGAGACAGGCAGCCAGGAGCAGTACACGGCCGGCCAGCCGCTGGAGATAGGGGGAGGGGAGAGGGGGAGTGTGATTCAGGTAAGTTATGAGTGATTTTTGGTTTAAAATCACTTGTACAAAACCATTTAGCCGTGCTGCTTGCCTGCAACCGGGCTAAATGTAGAAAAAAACGACTCGCCCCGGCGCCCAAAACCCCTGCTTTCAATCCCCGCTGCTCTCACCGCCTGTATCGGCAGAGGCAGGGGGGACACAGACCATTGCAGCCGGCACCAGCAGGGAGGAGAGACCGCTGTGACTGCTGCCCCTCTCTTCTACCTCCGCTTCCGCCCCGTGTCTCCTCTTCCCAAGCCCGTTCCTCCTCTGCTCCATCTCGTTCCTCCTCAGCCCCACCCCTTGCCTCCCCTGCATCTAGAGGCTGGGAGCCATACCCAGCCTGCTATTGGATATTTTAAAATGCAATAGCCAATAGCTGGCTGGCTATTTCTCCCAGCAATAAAGTAAAAAAATAAAAAGTTTAAAAAAATAAAATTAAAAAGACTACAAAATGTAAAAAAGTTTTAAAGTTTAAAAAAAAAGTTAAATAAATAAAAATTAAAAATGCAAACAAATAAAAAAACATTAAAGTTAAACTAAAATTAAAAATAGAAAAAAAATATGTTTTGGTTTGTTATTTTAAATAAAAGGTTGGTTATTTTATTATATTGGCTTAGAGTTTTACAATTCACATGATTTTAAATCCATGAAACTAATTAAAATGTCTAATATAATATATGCAATTATTACAAAATATATTTATATAAATAGTGGGAAAAGTCATTTTCAGTTTCGGCCTGACAAATTTTGCTGCTCGAGGTGCCATTCATTTCAATGGTTCCCAAATGCACCTCCCATCCCCGGTGTGATCACCCGCGCTGGAACGCACGGTACTGCAATGCCCTGCGTTCCAGTGCAGTGCGATTTCAAAAAATGTGCATACCTTTTTTTCTGAAGTAAACTTTGTCTGTAACGCTGCATTTGTGTATTTTATTTTAAATAAATGACGGTATTATATTTTTTTGGAATTATTTTATCCGATTAATCAGAGTTAATAATTGGCTAACTAAAGGATTATGAAAATAATCATTAGCTGCAGCCCTTAAAAGAGAACTATGGGGTAAGTGTTTTTCCCCATAGTTCTCTTAAGGGTCACGGGAGGACATATACTAGCATCCTCACGTGACCCAAAGCTCAGGTATACTCGCGGTATACTGAGACCGCCGCAGCTGGGACGGATCCCGACATTACTGTCGAGATCCACCCAGCTGCGTGAGTGACAGCTGGATCTGCTCTATAGCCACCGATCGGTTGTATGATTTAACACCCCGGATGTCAACTGGTTAACTGGAGTCCCTATTAGTGGTACATTTGGTTTTGGAAGTGAAAATGAATGATGTTCTTTCTACTTTATAGGTATACAATAATTAACACTACTCCTCAAACAACTTAATTTATGTTTTCACAGAAAGGTTCTGAAGATTGTCCTTACTTTTTTCCTCTCCAGATCTCTCCACTTTTTCCCCCATACTCCATTTCCTAAACTGTTGTCCTTTTTTTTTTTTTTCTTCTAACTTGGACTTCTAAAAATTGTGTGTTGTATTCCAATAACATTTTGCCCTCATTCACACAAGAAATGGCCGGCCCGTACAGATCCATGCTGCTGTATCAAGCTGCTCCCGGGAAGGAAAGGTGCTGTCTGTGATTGTACGCAGCAGCCTGTCCTTCTCTATGGGAGCCCACATGGAAGAAAAATATATTTTAAATATATTTAAAAAAAACATTCTTAATATATTTTTCCCAA